ATGTCTGAGGAGCTAGCCGGACGTTCAAGGTGAAAGGCCTGCCCAATGCGCTGCTCAGCTGCTGCAAAACGAACGCTGAAGCATCTGCACTTCTTGTTCTTGCCTTTCCCGTAGAATAGAAACGGCTGTCCACCCCCCCTTCCCCATGTAACAGTTGCATGGCTTATCTTCCAGGCCTTGGCCAAAAGTCGCTCGGCAGCCAGCAGAGGCTGCTCTGCCCAAGGCCCATGCCAGGCAGACCTGGGGTGGTCATAAGTGGGACGAAGGGACTCAAACATTTTGAAGGGCCTTGATGTTTGGTATTTGTTCGTGCCGAGCGGGCGCGTTGCCTGTTCACACCAGGAAGACTCATCAAACCCCCACTGTGCCCAGCTGCCCTGCCTTTTTTTTGCCCGCAAGCATGAATCATTGACTCTGAAACCAATCCTAGCCTAGCCAACACCATAGGTAAGCCCTGCCCAGAATTCACTTGAGCTATAGTCTAAACTCGTAGTATAGCCCCCTTTCAGGAGCTTAGACTATAGAATTCATTCTAACCCCAACATAACCCTAATATAACCCTATACCCTGAACCCTAATATTACCCTGAACCCCAACATAATCCCAATATAAGTGTCAGATCCCTAATCCCTTTTGAGCGCGAAGCCTTTCCGAAGCGGCGAAGTCGTTATTCACCACGTGGAGGCCGGACCTTGGCAGAGCCCAGGGTGTAGGGTTTGGGGGTGTAGGCTTGAGGGTTTAGGGTTTCGGGGTTTAGGCGTTTAGGGTTTAGGGGTTCAGGGTTTAGGGAAAATCTGATGACCCCAAAAGCGATACGTCAAGACCACCAACCTCCCCCCCCAAAAAAGAGCATGCGCTGAAGTAGCTATTCATCAGATGTACCATAGTCTAAACTCCTAGCATCCCACTTAATAACTATAGGAGTCCCCTACATAACCCACCCTTTAGGGAGTTTAGGCTATACAGCTTTGGGGCTCGTTCTCTCACTCGGTACTCAGGCGTCCGACGCTACATGGCTGAAGCGCCCTGTGCCTTGCACCATCTCATCAAAGGCCTGACTGGCTGCCACACTGCTTCAGGGTAATTTTCTAATAATGTGAATTCCCAATTTAAGGCCATCTTGGTACTACTCCCTATAGCAGGCCCTAGCTTTAGATTGCCGAGATTGCTTACAGGTTTCAGCACCTAGGATGTTGTTCACAAATCAAGGCTGTCAGTGGCGTGGGTCCCCTGCTGCAAGTGATGTTCACTCTGTAGATCCCATAGCCTATAGCTTCTGCTGGGACCTGTTCGACAAATAAAGGCGCATTTATCCTGCTGCCCTCTGCAAAGACTGACGCAGGTTGAATGGCACCCGTTCTTGCAGCTCGACGCCCAATAGAATTCCTCAAGGAGGCCCAGGCACCCAGCATTAAGCATAGTACCCTAGGAACAACAATGATTAGCAGCCCACTTCCCAAGAACACAAATAATGACAATAATCGTAATAATAGTGATAGCCATAATCTTAATAATAGTAGTTATAGCAATGATATTAATAAGAGTAGTAGTAATCGCCGTGATATTCAGAATAGTAGTAGCAGTAGTAATAATAACCATGATATCAACAATAGTTAGTAGTAGTAGTAGTAGTAGGAGTAGTAGTAGTAGTAGTAGTAGTAACAATACTAGTAGTCACAAGGCCAGGCCTCAGGGGAGTTGACCCCACAGCTCCCAGGAAAACCCTGGGCCTGGGCGTGAGCAGGAAGTAATAATCCACCCACCCTGATATGAGCCATAGTCTAAACTCCTGGAATCCCCCTTAATAAGCCCTATAGTAGTCCCCTATATAATCTCCCATATAACCCCCCTTTAAGGAGTTTAGATTATAGTTGATATGAAATCCCCCCACCCCCGCCACCGCCTCCCCTAATATTGAATGCTCCCATTGCGGTATATCATAGTTCATAAATACATTGAATTGGGAATGTCTTATATTGGGGGGAATATTAGGGGGAGGCCAGTAATCATAATCGGAATACGCCCCACCCCACCCAAACTAACATGGAATCCCACATAGCTCACACTGATCTCCGGGGGGATGTTTCAGTTGACAACTTTTGTGAGTGGCGAGGCGAGTCGTGTCTCGTAGGAAGGCTACAGCAAGCAGTCGCATCACAATCGCCTTACAAGATCACAGCACTAGGGCCACAAGGTTTTAAACAGATTCTTCACAACTCCATGGCCGAGAGCGGCCGTCTTCAAATCTGCCGCTGTTGTTGTTCTTGTTCTTTTCTGGTTCGTGCTGTTCTTCTTTGTCTTCACCCTGGAAGCCAAAAGGTTCACCTGGCCCCTCCCGAGGCAGTCGCAGGATCGTAGATCAGGTCTTGAGGACCCGTGAGCATGCGAGGATCACCTGCTTAGGCCCAAGCGCTTCCAGGACTTAAGAACTAGGTTGGCGTGGATGTTGCTACAACCCCCTGCAAAACCTATGACTGCTAGTGCTACGGCTTCCGCGACTACAACTATGAAGATACACATGAATACAAATGGTACTTGGAAGAATAACAACTTGACACCTAGAGATTGTAGCGATGATTGTTCTAAGGTGTGTACGTCTTCCTGCATAAGGTAGCCCGGCCCCAAGCGCCGTACGCCCTCCAGGTGCCCCATGGACAAACAAACCCCCACGATCAAAAGGCGCTGGGGATTTCCTGTAGCTTTGCTGGTGAAGACCTCAGGAGATGCCCTTCAAACTCACAGGGAATGACGCTTGGATTACTCGAGGCTAGAAGTGCAGGCCATGCTGCTTGGCCATTGATAGGGCCAACAAAGGTCCACCCACGTTGGTTCGCGCAAAAACTGTCAAGAGCTCTGAGGACTTAAGGTTTGCCAGAAGCTCTGAGGACTCGGATTCGTGTGCAACGCTGATGACTCCAGCTGAACTGAAACTGCGCCGTCCTTAGTGGAGCTCTGATGCCTTTTCTCGGAGCTGGCCTGAACCATCCCCCTGCCCTCCAAGCACCTCAAGCTGGTTTTTGGTCTTGCGGAGCTGTGCTTCTAAACGGGAGTCCGCAAAGCACAAGTCTTGGCCAAAGCACAAGGCAAAATCACGCAACACCAGCCAGAATGGCTTTGAAAACCTGGCGACCTTAACATCTTGCAGCACCACGAGCAGCTTTTGTGCCGGGCACCAATCGAAAATATCCAAAAGGGTGACACCGCTCTCTCGAGCAGTGCCGAAGTTCTTCACAAATATTCAGGTCGCCGGACTGAATTCCGTCGAGGCGGGAACACTCACAATGACATTGTCGGAGTTCGAAGCGTCAGAATACTTCCCTGCTTGCCTGGAAGGGTCGCAGCCATCTTTGGCAGACTTGTTTTCAAGAGAAGAGAAAGCAAACAACATCTGAGTTCAGATGCCCAAACAGGTCCGCCACAACAAGAGCAATGCAAAGCTTCCTACATTTAGGCTAACTGCTGGTGGCCTTTGCGTAAGCACGGGGTGTTCTTCGAGGTAGTGGCTTGGGGGACGTGGTGAATTAAATCGAGAGAGCGTCCTGAACTTTGCCTAACCTCTAGCGGCTTGACAACTTGGGATCAAAGTTCGAGGCACCATTTGAGGTAGAGCTAACTTCTAGACTAGAATGCGGATCTTTTCACGTTTCGTTCCATTTAACTAAACCCCAAAGCCCTAAACAATTTCCAGGCCATGTGGATTCCAGCGGTTAGATGCCGGGGCGCTTTGCGCACTGGCTGCCACCTGGCAGGAAGTGCCATACATCAGGGGTTAAGGGCTCAGGTTGCATTCTTCTTTGAGGGTCTAGGGCTTAGGGTTTGGTATGTAGGGTTGGCGATTTGGGTTGAGTGATTCTGGGTCTACAGCCAGGCTTGTTTGGAGAGAATAGAAGGCACGTACTGTAGTGCTGATTGCACAACGACAGAAGCTTACGAGTTACGACAAATCAGGCTAGCAATGATAGAACTCGCGGACTGCCAGGAACAAGAACAATACTGGCTATTAGCTGTCATCACCACGATCATCACGTTGTCTTTACGATCAACCAGAACCATCGCCACGGTCGTAAATGCGCGCGAATCACAATGGCAACCGTCACATCCACGGCGGTCAAAATGGAAGAAGGTGATACTAACTCAGGCAGTGATGCTAATAACACAAACAGCAGCTCAAAAACAACAACTGCCGATGTGGAGGCTTTAGCTTGCTTAAGTCAACATATCGTTGATCAAGCTTGGATGCCGAAGAACATCCGTGTTCCATAGCCGTCCTCTCCAATTCCCTTCCGGGCCCCTCACAGCTTTGCCCTACTAGCTTCCCTAGCATCTTCCTTACTGGTAGTCAACTGGGAATAGATGGATCTGTATACTAGTCCATATAACAACACCAGTAAAAGAAGTAGTTTGCATGTTGTCTTGCCCATTCCTCCCCAGTGTCAATTTCATTGTCCATTCTCTTTTCAACTATTTGATTCCCCATCGTTGGTAGCCTAAACCCTACACCCTACATCAGTCCCCTGAGCCATGCCTGGCTGTTCCGTGAGCCTTGAGAGCTCGTGCGCGAGCGGCTTCCTGCTGGCTTGAACTTGCTTAGAGGCCTCAACACTTCCAGCTGGGGCTTTGGCTAAGCCTTATTTGCATACGCAAGGATAAGGTTGAAGCTACAGGTTGCAACAGCTTGAGCTTATTCAGGTTTACGTGTTCCTCCCCACGCCAGGGAAGACCTGGGCCTCCTGAATTTAAGCCAAAGAGCTGCCGCGACGCCTGCTACTCCGTTGAGCACTGCTCTGAAGCATTGCTAAATTTCGTTCGGTCAGTGTCCTTAGGATGGAGGTGTGTGGCTGCAGGGCACTGCAATGAAAGCCCCTTGGAACCCGATGAATAGGCTAAGAACCTTTGAAGAATCCGGTAGGTGCCAGGGTTAGATGAGAGGTGTATAATGTATAACAACATACACAGATGCAACAAACTTGCCGCTCTATTGCACAACATATGTGCGTTGATCAGCCAAAAGTCACTGGCGATGAAAATGCGTTCACCATCAACGTGCCCACGAGACTTTTGAGAACTGCATCTTCCCTGAGCTGCCGCGCATGATCAAGCTTTGTGGATGAAAGGCGGCCGAAACTGTTAAGCAGCGCGTGCTTGAAGCTATGCATGCCTATAGCCTTACCTGACGTTCTCTGTGCAGCCCAGACTCGCGAATGTGACCGTAGCTTCCAACTGACATGATCCCAAGAGGTCCAGACCGTGACATGTAATGCTCTCCTCTGGATTCTCATCATAGGCATGGATGGCTTCCTGCATTTGCCTGACCGGATGCAGGAGTGGCACCAACTGCTCTGTGCCGGCCGGAAGTTTGTCATAATGTTTGACTTAAAGCACGGAAGCTGAAACGGAAAGCTTTGCCGGCAGCATTCTCATTCCTGTTGTTGAGGCTGTTTTCATAGCTGTTCTAATGCCACCTTTTAGCATGCTTATGCCGTTGCCGCTTCTTTTCTTCCCAGCCTGCTGAAGGACCTGGGGCCCGTCCCCTTCGAGAGGTCGAACACGCTGAGGCCTTCAAAGTCAAGCGCCTGCAGCAAGCTCAAACAGGGCTTGTTTCTTTTGGGTTCCCTGTCTGAGCATGAGCAAGTTTAAGAGTGGAACAGAACAAGACAGCTCTCGAGTCTCCCTTTGTACCAGCAAAGAGTTAGAGACAAGTTCTGCAAGTGGATGCCAGAAGTGTAAGGGAGGGCATTGCCGACCCTAGAGCCACTCTGCAGGCCTGCCCCGCAGTGGAACAAAGCGCTCGAAAGCCATTCGACACGCCGAGGATGTCGAAGGTGTTAGCGTCAAACATGAGGGACACCTCAGTGCAGAAAGCAAACGCGGTGATTTCGGGTAGCAACGAGGTTGCGGCGGCGGGTGGTGATGGTGGGTGGGGGGTGGGGTTGCAGCGACGGCAGTGGTGCTATAATGTGTGGTAGTCAAAAGAATTGTTCGGAATAGAGCGAACTTTCGGCCCAACAGAATAATGAAAAGGGGGCGGAATAGAGCAAAATTTTGTCCCCTGCGGAATGATAACAATGCAGAAGCGGAATAGTGGCATCCTCTGAACTGCAAACCGAAGAGTGCTGCCTTTGGAGGTCCTGTAAAACGCCCCAAACAACTTTTGCCAAACTTAATTTGGGGGCACATAGACTTGTTAGTTTTAGTTGGGGGTGTATCTTATGTATATAAAGCCCCGAGTATTGGTGTCATGGTGATAACCTGTGCAACATCGTGCAACTATCATCATTGCCTATCTACAAGACTTTGGGAGAGCCCTGCCCAGATTGTACTGAAGGCTTGCGTCCTGCCGACATGGCTTCCACAACTGAAAGGCCGTAGACATGGACAATGAACAATTGACATCTTGAAGTTCGAAAGCATGAGCGAAACCCTTCCAAACTCGCTTCCTTTGGCACTCGCTTGTCCCCTCCTAGCATCCAACCTAATAAGTGCAAAGCGCCTCTTCTTGCACGGCGGGCACGGCTGGGATTTCTTCAGCGCTCAGAATCAGTGCAGGCGAGGCCATCGCGGGAGCCACAGATGCCAAGTCCTTCCATGCTTGGGTCATGATACAAAACTTAAACCCATCCTAATCCCTAAGCCCTATCCTCCTATATAGCCCCCATAAGCCCTTTGAAAGGTACCCCTAATTCTGGGACAACCCTATAAACCCTATAATATGCCCCTATATAACCCTGATAAGCCACAGGCAAACTGCAACACAGGGAAAACCTTGCAGGTTCCAGGGAGGGTTGGCATTTTCCCAAGTCCCAAGTTTTCGCCCAGTGTTTCTTAAATCCGGGGCTGTCATCATCCTCTTGTCTAAGGTTGAGCCACTTTTCAAGGAGAAATTTGGGGGCTCATGGGGGTACAGGTAGGGATTAAACAAGGTACACAGGGGCCCCGGATGAAAGTGCCCAGGCTGGGGGTCATATGGTTTGAGCATCTTGAAGATTTAATCCGCATAAAGAAATGCATGATAACTAGAAAATAAAACCTTCCATTTATCGCTGACTACAAAGTTGACAACGAATACCGCGACACTAGGGAACCAATGAGGGTATGTCAGATCGTTCAAGGCAATTACGTTATGCCAGATGCCTACTATACTCCTCTAGCTTCCATATGAGCTATCTATCGTCTACGCTCCTAGTATCCCCTTAATCACCCCTGTAGTAATAGAGTCCCCTATAAAAAATACTCTATACAGCACCCTTTAAGGAGTTTAGACTCTAGCTCAGATGAAGCGGAAGGTATTTCTCATAGTATGACGGCACCATCCTTGGCCCCAGCCGCCCAACCATCCATTGCTATTGCTCAGGGTTTTTTGTGGCTTATATAGAGGGATATAGGGCTGTAGGGGGTTTCCCAAAATTAGGGGTACCTTCAAACGGGTTATACAGGGGATATTGGGTTTAGGGGTTCCCAAGATTGGGGGGGGTCACTAGAATAAGGACTATAGTATTTAGGCAAACTTTATACCAGGACCCTCCCGGTCCCTTTCAAGGGCGGTATATGGTCCCTAATAGTGGATATTTAGGGTATAGTATTTAGGGTACATAGAGGGTAGATGGAGGGTCTAGATCTTCATATTCTACAATCCCTAAGGGTCCAAGTACCAAATAACCATATACTTACCCCAAAGCTGTACCATAATTACTCTTACCAAAGCCCTATGTACCTAATTCTTGGGTACTTGGATCCTTAGGGAAACTCCTGAAGCTGCCCTAAACCCTAAACCCTGTCCTGAAATTCGCGCATCCCGATGAGCCGCCGCCGGTGACCGTCCGGGTTGCAGAACTGTATATGCAACAGCTCAACCTTCAGGTAGTTGCCTGCTTGGAGCTGCCAACGTGTGGCCTAAATCTTCATATTGCTGCCTTTTGCACCTACTGCCATAAGTTGTTGAAAGTTCAGCCCCTCAGTGTTCATTCAGTGTAGACACAGTAGACACGGGCCGTTGTACTTGGCACTTTCCAAAGTCCGTACTCTATCTGTGGCATTGATGCTGGCAGCCCCTGAAAACAGCTCAGCTGCCGAGGGAATCCATGATACGAGCATTGATGGCCAGTGTCTGCGTGCTCGATGTGCCGCTGCTCAGAGATTCCTTGATGCGGCAGCGGTCCTGCAGAAGCGCTATATTCTTGCCTGACCTGGTGAGGGTGGTGAGGGACCGGGGGGTGGGGGGGAGCACCAGGTCGACAAATCCTTTGTGGAAAGCAATGGGGCACCATGGAATGCAGAAAAATGCCTCCGGTTTTGGATTCCTAGATGCGTCCAGAGCAGGAAAGCTGAGTGGGCGAAAGATCTCAGGGTCGCGCAAACGCCCGTCAAAGCCAACGCTGAAGCCGGGCCCAAAGGCAGTACACGCAGCACTCAAACGACGCTGCATCCCTTCCTAGTTTCACACAATCAGTTTGATGGCCTCCTGTTACTCAAGAAGGGCCGAACTGCATGAGCAAGTACGTCCTTCATATCATAGTTGTCAAAAATGAATGAAACCCAGAGATAAAGGAAACACAGTGGCAACCTTCAAGGGGCAAACGCTGTACAACTTCAACCTCAGGAGGAAAAACGTGGTGGAACCTTGAAAGGTTTCCATAAAGTGGGGGATAATGGAAAAGAAAATGGAAACTACTATAATGGAGAATCAAATGGAAAAGAAAATGGAAAATGAAATGGACACTAGGGAATATATTTGCCAAGGCCCACATGACCTCCAAAAGCCCAATGCCATCCTTGTGAGAAGCCCAGTACTCCAAGCGATGCCCCTGCCAAAACCCCTGCAATCCCTGCCACACCCTATGCCATCCCCAGACACCCGGAAGAAAACCTTAGATGCTAAACACGAAACTGGGTTGCTGTTAAGGAACTAAATTTAAGTTACCATAATATGAGTATATAGTAAGCAATAGGGTTTCCGGTTTCCTTCTTATAGCAACGTAATCTAAGCTCCTGGTCCTTAAGCTAGGTTACTATACTAAGGAAGCCCTATTATTTACTACAGACCCATCATATGGTATTCTAATTTAAGGTCCTCCTCGAAGAAGAATTCCAGAAACTCTCGGCCCGCCAAGGTTCCAGAGCCCCGGCCCTGCCTGTAGGGCTTAGGGTTTAGGGTTTGGGCTTTAAGGCCTAGGGCTTTTTAGGGTTTGGGGTTTAGGGTTTGGGGCTGGCAAGACGCAGGAACACCGATATGGGGGTTACCCAAGCCTAGGGGTACTCTTCAAGGGGTTTATAGGGGTTATTTCGGGGATGGAGGATTTAGGATTTAGGGTTAGGGTACCATTTTGTGGTTCCCTATGCTAAGGACTAGTATAGTAATTTGGGGTCTATACTGGGGTCCCCTACTTTAGGGAAACTACTATCTCATTCCTGCCCTCTTCTGGGTTGCTGTTAGGGAACTTAAGTTAAGTGAATATAAGAAGGAAACCCCATTAGTTACGACATACCCAAATAGGGGTAATTTAATTTAAGTTCCTGAACAGCAATCCAGTCTTCTGTATGGTAATGATGACATCGTTGAGACCTTCTATGTGCTTCTGGCTGCCGTCTTTGTTGCGGTGGTGGAGGCGGTGATTGCTTGTAGACTATACTCATTGTCCACGAACTGTTGTGTTTCTGACCTGATCCTGCGGTACCCATCCTCCTGCAGCATTAAGGACTCCTTACAGCCGGAGCCGTGAAACCCTTTCACATCACCTAGCCAGTCGACCGGAATCTAAGGATGCGGGTGCCGTGATTTATGCACACGGAACTCTTCAGTACATCCCTGCGTAAATCAACCCCCTCCAATCGATTGTTCAACCCTATTGAACCCTGCTACCAAATTGAAGGATAGTCCTGCATATTCCCCAAGAAACCCCATTCAATGGCGGCACGGGCGCCCATGAAGCAGCATTGTAGACAGCTGCCGTGAGTCCTCTGTGAGTTGCAGCGTCTCCTCATCAACCTCTGCAAACTGAAAAAGCTTTCGTGCAACCCGGAAAAAAACTCCAATGCAAAGCCTGCAGAACCTTGTAGAACCCAAAACCTTTTTGAATCATGCGCTGCGCCACTCGGCCCCAAAGCCTAAACCCCAAACTCTAAGCTAGGGCATGGCAGGCCCCTCTCTGCTTTCCACCAAGCATGGAGGGTAGGGGAGAAGGACTTACGCGTGCCTCAGTGGAGTATACTTGGGTTCACACGATAGAAAGTATCATCCGACTCTGCGACAAGGTTCTGGATCCCAACAGGGTTGGCTGATGGGGACGGAGAAAATCCGATCGGCCCTTAGAGAACTTTGCTTGCTCCCCTTCTGCAGCGGCTATGCAATGAATTGCTATGGGCAGCTGCATCCTCACATTGCATAAGAAGGGGGTTCTACTTGTTCACATCCCGGAGGTAGAATTACAAGATGATGATCTCCTCGAGCCTCGACCACAGCATCGCAGAATCCCAGCAGCAGACCAGAGACTGCTTCCAGTTCTATGGTTCCTAAGGAGTTTTGGACTTCACGGAGTATCAGCGTCTGAGATGTCGATTGTACATGAGGGATTGCGTGGGGTAAATGTTTACGGGATTTCGCTACAGCATGCACGGGGACTAGCTTGGAGAGACAAAAAGCTCCTATCGCATCCCGTATGCCACATATTCAGAGTGTGGGCTCAGAGGTAGGGACACCTCGAGGAGCCAAACCCAAATCTGCTTCAAGATCACTCTGAGATATCAAGACTGCAAAGCCTCCAATGCATTGGTTAGTATGGGGGTTGGGCTTGGCCTGTTCTGGCAAAATTGCAAGAGAAACGTTGCTTGATAAAGCTGCAAATT